AAATAATCCCTCGGCCCTTCGCATAATCATCTCCTGCCCCGTCTCTCATTTTCCCACTTCATGTTAGCCACACTCTTCCTCTCTCTTCTTACTCTTCTAGTCCATTTCCCTGATGCTCTTTCCTGTGACCATTTCATATGTCCTAAGTCCTAGCTTCACTCTTCTGCCTTAGATTCCTTTTCCTGAGAGTGTCGCATAAAGTGGATACTGCACGTGTCACTAGTCTCTCCTTCCTAAACACTGCTAACACAACACCTGCATTCCCTCATTTAATCCTTACAGCCTCTAACTCTCACAGAAGTTCATGAACTTGTTCAGGAACACAAGCAGCCTACTAGGATCAGGATAGGACCCCTCTGTGTTTTCATTATGACACAGTGCCAGGCTAATAGCAGCAGCTTTATAAATATTTGTGCATGGATGGATGAATGGATGGGTGGATGGATGGATGGATGGATGGATGGATGGATGGATGGATGGATGGATGGGTGGATGGGTGGATGGAGAGGAAGAACAAGAATTTCAACAAGATATGTCTTCCTCCAAAACAGATCCTCTTAAATACTGTACCATATGTCTTTAGTGAAATAAAAATTCTAAAATGTAAGCAACTTCTCTGAGGACCAGCTCAATCTATACATTATGGACTGTATTATGGTTTTCTGGGGGTACAGTTTACCAAAACTGCTCTATACTCCTCAGCTTCATCAACCCTACACTGGATAGAGAAGGGCCTCCACTGTAGTATTGTGGTGAGGACTTCACAGAAGGACAAGTTCAGAGTGGAAGGCCAGCAAAAGTCACCTGCTTTTACCATCATGGCACAGGCTCAGAGTGAAGGAAAGACTCCAATTTGATTTGAATTCCCAAAAGCTATATAGATTTTTCAAAGTGCTTCCAGAAAGATTTTCTTTTGATCTTTATAACAATCTGATGGAAAATACTAATGAGTTATTTAGTATGAAATGACTTAGACAGATCAAGATATGTGTCATTATAGCAAAAGAATGGAGACAACCCAATGGCCACCAGTAGGGAACCAAATAGACTATGACACACAACAGAATGCTATGTGGCTGTAAAGAAACGAACAAGGTTTCTGACGCTGCTCCAGGGCAGAGCAGAGGGGACATTATATCAACTGTGGGGTAAGACAGGGGAAGTACTAATGTAAAAGACTGATGTATATAATATAAATCTATTGCATACATAATACACATATTAACTTACATATTCAAAAAGAAACAGGAGGAATGAACTAATAAAATTCTACCTATAGAAGGAGAGAGAGAAAAGCAGGATGGAAGCAAGGCCTCCCTGAATATCCTTCACTCTGTGGTTTTGATTCTCAAATCATATAAATGTCTTACACAACTTAGAAAACAAATTTAAGTTTAAAATATAAAAACAAAGTAAGCCCTGAAAACTGGAAATAAATGAAAGCAAACAAACTCCACATCATATCAGGTTGTGGGCATAGCCCAAACAGAAAAGAATTATTTCAAATAAGTTTAGGTCCCAGTATTTTGCATATCCATAAGAGAGAGCCTCTGGACAAAAAGAACCGTAAACAAGTCTAAAACTGAATTTCATATTTCATAGTAATCATAAGATAGTTGATTTGACAATATTGTACACACACACACATATGTATGCTTATAAAGTAATTATGTTTAAGTCCTTAGGGAAAAAAAGATTTTCAGCATTAGAGCAAAGAGATATAATATAATAGCAAAGAAATAATAACCTCTAATCTTAAATTTGAAGCAGAAATATCAATATAAACTCAAGATTTGTTTTCTCTTATTAACAAAAGTCTTAGAAACAATGACAACCTTGTAGCAATGAGCACCCCTAGTCTCCAAATACCATTTCCTCTCAAAGGAACCAGGGTTCCCTGAGAAATATGACTGGCCCCAGCTCTAGGGCAGGAAACATGAAAAACAAGTCACTTTTGTGACTCCAGAAACCACAAAGACTACTGAGGCAGTGCTGAAGGACACAGGAGCTAACGTGAAGGGCTCCCAGTGGCCAAAGACTGGACATCTGGAGCACTGAAAAGAACAATGACTGCAACGGATTAACGCACATCACGCATAAATAGCCGTGAGTTCATATTATTAATTTTTTAAATATATTGGTTACTATACAAATTTGCTACAATATCAATTTTTACTCTAAAATTGGTAAATGAAGGGAAAGAATCACAAAAGAAATAATAATCATTTGGATAACTGGGCAAACAGGAGGCTGGTCATTTGGTGAATGGACTTAGGGCAAGTCAAAGAAAGCGCACAAGAGAGCTTCGTGTTGCGCTGGGACATGAGCCTCCCTGCCCAACACCCCCTGGCTGTCTCCTGCTCCTGAAGTTCCTGCTGCTTTACTCCCTTGGCCAAGACTAAAATAGCCCCTCCTTACAACTTCATTTGAATGTATTACTTCGCTTAATAGGTGGGATTTTACAAAATGCCTTCAAATTACCACTCAAATTAGACTGAGAAAAAGTTTGTTTTAATTCAGAAAGCTTAATGAAACTTTTTAATTCCTCCTTCAGGGCTCTGTCCATCATCATCTTAGGCTTTCCCAAATATAAACTTCAAAACAAACTGCTTTTTTTTGCCAAAACAAGCCGGTCATAGCACATGCCTAGGTTGCGGGTTCGATCCCCAGTAGGGGGCGTGCAGGAGGCAGCCAATAAATGACTCTCATTACTGATGTTTCTATCTCTCCTTCTCCCTCTCCCTTCCTCTCTCTGAAATCAGTGAAGACATATTTTTTTTAAAAAAATACAAATCTCTCTGCTCAGAGAGTAGAGTCAGCTGATAAAAATTCAAAACTTCAATCTGGGCTTTAAAATGAACTCTCACCCTTGTTTAATCTTACTGTGACTGACAGGCCACCCTCTGCTCCTAATCAATCTGAGTATCTCTTGACTACTATTATTTCTTATCAATCTGGAAGGGAAGAGTATGTGAGCTGGGATTAAAAATCAGGAGACTATCAAACCTTTTATAAATTGCACTGGCAATGATCCCCCAAAATTGCTGATGACAAAACCAGAATGAAATTGGCACTTTGTGATTCTGCTCCCGTGCTCCTGATGTTGGAATGTGGGATGAACAATTCCATGAGTTAGCTTTATTCAGTCCTGCTCTCTCTTCACCAAGGGGGCCGCACTCAGTGGCTACTGCCTTGACCCCTCCACTGTGGAATTCTTCTGCCAAATATCCCAGGGCCAGGGGAACGCTTTACTCCACTTTTCCACAAGGAGTTGTCTATCTCGCCTCTGCCTCTATAGTAAAGAGATGGCCTAGTTTATATGTGTTTATTATGCATCAGTTCCTACCTAGCTTGGCACCGTATCACTGCCCCAATAGAGCAAAATGGTACATTTGGAGTGAAGTGGAGGCTCAAGACAGCGCTGCTCCTTGGTCAGTATGGAACAGGACACAGAAGATGGACTAGCAATGTTCCCCAATATGCGTCCTGAGGAACACTGTTCATGGGAAAGGTGCCTCTTTCTCATGAGTGGATTTTATGTCAAACAAATTTGGAAAAGACTGTAGGCTGAAACTTCCTCTGGCAGTTTCATAATGCACATCAGCATATTAAAGGTTATGATATGTCCTGCAGCAAAGGGCTCTATTATACTTTGTTTTACTCAACAAGTTTCAAATTTATTTGGCTATAAACCTTCTTTTCAGTAACACTTTTAAATTTGGGAAATACTTTAAACTACATATAACAGCTATGCGGCTCTTGGTTTCCCTATCTAAGAAATGTTGCTCAATAAAAGGTTAGTGTAAGAATTAAACTAGAAATGGGACGTTAAGATTTTCTGACAACCAAATTGTAACCTATCAATTTTACCTTAATATACAAAAAACATTTTTGAAAAGCAAGAGAAAAAAACATATTTTTATGTCACAATTAGTACAATGGTCCATGGCAGTATACTCTTTATTAAAAACAACTTCCTGTCATGGACCTGCAACCAATTGTGTATGTCTTGATGCGCAAAGTGAAAGACATGAGAGAACAAAGTGATTACCCAAATATTTCACGTCAACATTTTCTTTCTACAATAATATAATTTTGCCTGTTAATTTTCAGATAATTGATGCTTACTGGGTTTGGATATAGACATAGAGAAGAAAGTGGGAGCAAAAGTCATTGGAAAAGTTATTGTAATTCTTCACTTAACTGTTTAAATATAGTTTAATATATTGAGCCTTCAGTAGATACAATCATTCACTATCTTTGAAACCACTAAGAAAATATCTAGAATATCATATGATATAATACACTAAAAATTCCCCCAATATTTGAGAAATAATGTTCTTACATTTCTGAGCACCCAGTTTACTAAGAAAAGATTTAAGCACTAAGGTACATGTATCAAAGCCTCCTAAAAATCGGTTTTCCCAGACATAAAATAATTTCTAAAACAAAACTCATAGATTTTCTTTCTACATTCAAGCATCTCCAGTAATCCAATTAAAATCTGTTAACATTTATAAAAGGAGAGTCCTAATACCATAGAACTGACCTATATTTCAAATTATCAATGTTCAAACACCTAACACTTTAAGACTCATGCCAACCCATAAAAAGATTTATTCAGATTTACACTTGAATGCCATTGCCTATTTCATTCATTTTAACTCAGAACCATAACAACATAAATAAATGCAAAGTTCAAATAGGGGACATCTGTAATACTGTCAACAATAAAGATAAAATAAATAAATAAATAAATAAATGCGAAGTTCTCTCTTTCCAAAACACAGTTGGTAAAATTGTCACACAGTGATAAAATCTGGATCAAAGAAAACATTCAAAGACTTCCTCCTCGTCAAATCTGGGGGGAAGTTATCTGCTAATGAACTTATTTCACATTTTGGTGTTAGAATCAACGCTAGTTTTCTTCACTCACTGCATTTTAGTTTAGTGGTCGAAAATGATCATGTTTTGAAGGAGCTCTCACGGCGGTGCCTTACCAGTGTAGATGCTGGCATTGGAAGCCGGAATACCAAACTGTGACTCGATGAACTTGGGAATGAAGGTAATGAAAGCAGTTACAATGGCACTCTCAGCTGTGTATGACAAACTCACAAAAAGGAATGTCATGTTGCTTAAGATCCTGACAGCTGCTCTTGGTAGGTCTACAAAATGACAAAAATGACAAATGAATGTTATAAACAAGGGATGGAAAATAAAATAAAACTGAATTGTTTTTGAAATGAACTGGAAATAGCCATTCAGCAATATTTGAGACTATTGAATTATAAATAAAAATAGAAAAACCTAATGACCGATTAGAAATTATCCCCCTTATTAAATAGATTTGGGTTTGTTTGTTTTTAATTCTCAACTAGGATAAAGAAATTTAATAAATATTTTTAAAGCATACCCATACACAAATATCCTTGCAAGAAGTATCCAACCTATGATTCTTATTTCCAAAACTATTTAAAATAAATTGTTTGCATTTTTATTTATTAAAACAATGTTATTCTTTGTTAAAACTCCAAGGTCTACTAAATGTGTAAAGAACCTGATATATAATCCTAAATTACAGTTTCCACTTCACCCAACTAACACTTCCCTGAGAAAATGACTTCTGGGTTTCCGTCTCCCTGGCACCCACAGCAGAGGAACTGACACATGATGGGAGAGCTGATCTTCCAGCCTCTGGAAATAATACAGCTAAGAGGACACATGGGATAAGGCCACCAGGCCAGACACTACCAGGGACTTTGGAACAAAGAGAAATGATCTACAAAAGAGCAGGACAGCCCAGAGGTGGGGGATCAGCACCTGCCCAGCTGCCTCTTAAGGAAGAGAGAAATCCATTCCTCGACTGTAGGTATTTATTACATAGAACTTGCCAAATATATGCTTTGAAACGTATGCACAAGTATTTTCATGTCAGCCTATTTATAGCCTATTCACAGGAATTTAAAACTTAGGAAGGCATTGTTTATAACTGTAAAATTTGGGGGGGAAATACCTAAAAGTCCATCAATGGGAAGTGTTTAAGTTATGGCACAGCCATATAATAAAATATTATGCAGTAATTAAACCTGAAATAAGCTATACATACTGGCATAAAAGGAACTCCAAGAAATATTGTATTAATGAATAAAGCCAGCTGCTACAGAAATATATATGTGTGTGTGTGAATATATATAACATATTTATATATTATATATTTTATATAATATTTTATATATTTTTATATAATATTCACTTTTATATAAAAGTGAAAAGCAAACAAACCAAAAATGTATTTATATGCAGTCAAATGTATAGATCTCAATATATATAACACCAAGAAATTCTGTGAATGGGAATAAGATTGGTAAAGAGGAATAAAAGGAAATTTTTGTGTATATAGTTTTGTGGGGTTTTTTGCATGTTTATAATGTAAATTAACTCACATTCACAAAATGTTTACATACCTTCATGGAAATGGTAAGCTGCATTATTTTGTACATATACAGTCAATCATCTCAGTTATCAGAACAGTTATCTTATGCTATGATGTAATAAAATCATTTCATAAAAATTAAGTAACAATCATTGTTAAAGTTATAATTTATAGCCTATTCACAGGAACTTAACACTTAGGAAGGCAAGACTATTTGCTATTATCATTTTTCAATGTAAATTAATTTTCATGTTCTACATTTTAATTTAATTATTTAAAGTTTAAAGGAACATTTTAAAAGGAAAATTAAGATGCAAACTTAATTTTAACATGGGAAAACACATCAGAAAAAACTATAATCAGAGTACATCATAAAATTGCCCAATGTTCTCTTGTAAAGACTGCAAATCAAAATGTCGTATCCAAACTTTAAAAATTAGAAAGTAAGATTTCATATCAACATTTAAAGATTCAGCTGCTATATTAAGTTTAGCTGTTATATAAAAAAGCCAATGTGTTAAATCCAAAACATCTGGGAAAAATATAAAATAAATTATTTTAATCCAAGAAGATAACATGTATCACATGAATATTTTAAAAGATACTATTTATATAAAACTGGTTTTTCTTTTATACCCATTTGGCATGATAAAATAACCTTCTAATTTCAAAGGTAACTAAAAATACATGTGATGTTTCTCTCTTCTCTTTCATTAAACAAACAAACAAACAAAAATGCTGCTATTTAAGAAGAATTTAGCCTAAGTTCAGACTTTCAACAACTTTAACTCAGCTTCCTTGTTTGCCACCTCCCTCCATCACCTTTGCTGGGCTAACTGTTAGCCTCATGCTCTGCAGGAGTGGGGGCCAGGTACCCAGGGCTGTGTCTTTAGCCAACGGGGCTGAAGTTTGTTTATATACAAGGGAAGGAAGCAAATAAGTCTAGACATTGAGAATAACAGGAGTGAGTTTAACTGCCAGAGAAAAGAGTTACAAATACAGAAAGGGGACAGTTAGATCTAGGATTGGATCTGAAGGTATTGGTACAAATTCATGAGATTATAGATGATCAATGGATAAATAGATGATAGATAACCAATTTGTGATATATTGTGTGTGTGTGTACATACAGGGTGGGGCAAAAGTAGGTTTACAGTTGTGAGTATGCAAAACACAGTTTAATCTTGTATTATAATTTATTAATTATTGTATTATTTTCCATACAAACAACAATAAACCTACTTTTGCGCCACCCTGTGTACACATTTCTTAACTCTGTCTGCTGACAGGGCGTAGAATAATCACACCCTGGTAGCAATGAGCCCACCTAGCACCCAGTTCCTGCTTTCTCAATGTCCTTTTCCACCAAACGGAACTAGAACTTCCTGGAGAATTGTCTAACTTCAGAGCTGGGGCGGAGAAGATACAAGATGAGCCTGGAAAATCTTGCTAAACATGAAAGTAAAGAAGTGCTCAAAGAATTATGGGGACATGTCAAAAACACAGAAGACAACATGAAGGATTCCCAGTGGCCAAACGTGGGACAATTTTAGCTCAGTTGATGCTAAAAACGATAAATGAAAGTTTAACTGGAACAAGATGCAGTCAGTCCTCATTACTCACAGATTCAGTCTTTGCAAATTTACCTGCTCACCAGAATTTATCTGTAACTGTAAAATCAGTACTAGCGGCACATGGACATTCGAGGACATGCGCAGAAGGCGAAAACATGGGAGTCACAGGACGCACATTCCTGGCTGCTGTTGCACAAGGCCCTCTTGTTTCAGCTCTCATACTGTAGACAAGCGTCCTTTTCACAACATTGTCACATTTTTTGCATTTTTGTGCTTTTGGTGATTTCATTGTTTAAAATGTCCAGCCACCCCCAAGCATAATGCTGAAATGCTGCGTAGTGTTTCTAAATGCAAAAGGCTGGGCCTTGCCACGCAGGGAAAGTGCATGTTAGATAAGCGTCTTTCAGGCAGAAGTTCAGTGCCATTGGCCACGGGTGCAATGTTAATGAATCAGTGACGTATATTAAATAAGGTGTCATTGAACAGAAACACACATAAAGCAGGGTTATGTATTAATGGGTTCCCCATCATGCTGTGGCAGTAATCCAGCCCTGTATTTCCCAAGGAGCAATGCTTCAGTCTTGGCTACTTCGGTGCTCATGGTGACTTTATAGAACACAACTTCTGCAAATAACGAGAATCAACCGTACGCAAATTACTTATAAATTATGTATTGCTTTATATTGCAATATACTTTTTAACTTTAGAGTGGAGAAACCAGGCAGATACAATCTCATCCAAGTGAGAAAAGTTCACCTAACTGGTAACAAGGCAAAGTTGCATTGTGTGGCCTGTGTTACAATGCGCTGAGCACAGCATCATTTCGGTGGTATGTCTACAAAAGTGCATAAATCAGGGTGTGACATCATTGAACCCAAGTTGAGCGGTATCTACAAAGCTACTGGCTTATACTTTTTTAAAAGATAAAGGTCATAAAAGACAAAAAAAGATGAGGAACTTATCCAGACTGACAGATGAAAAAGATACCAAAATTAAATACATAGAGTAATCCTGGATTGGATCTTGGACATAAAGGGCACTGTCAAGGTAATCAGTGACATCTCAAAGGGGCCTGTGGTCTGGATGACAACACAGGATCGGTGTGAATTTCCTGACTTTAACGGCTCCCCTGTGGTCACATAGGGGTGTGTCCTTGCACTTAGGAAACAAGTATGAGTGCCCAGGAGAGTATCATGTCTTCAAGTTCTCAGGTGGGTCAAAACATCAGCAATTGGGAAATTGGGGTGCAGGATACGCAGGAGCTCTGCGTGCTGCTTCTGTGGCTTTTATGTAAATCCAAAATTATTTCAAAAACACAAAGTTTTAAAACCTAAGTCAGCAAAGAAGTTGCTAAATCCATTCATTTGCATCCAGATACCTAGTTTTAATGCTGCAGGACATAGTTAAGTTTCTTGGTGTCGTTTATAATTGCGTCATTGTAAAATCAAAGATGCAGCATAACGCATGATGAAGGAGAAATGAAATCATGACAGTGATCACTGAATGCTAAGAAATCCTGCCCTCAGGGCAAGCTGACACTAAAACCACAGGCTGTTAGTATAGTCACAGTGGTGTGTAACCACCACCTCTATCCAGTTTCAATATATGTGTTTTTATTGTAAATAAATGTAAGCGTTTATGTTCAGGAATGAGGTTGGAACTCATTTTTATCTTATTCTTTATACTTCACATACTTTCTAAATTTTCTACCATGAGCATGTACTACTTTTATATTCTAAAAACAACCCTCCAAAAAAACCAATTTTAAAGAGGTGTAGCAACATGTTATCCTCCAAGAGGAGTCTTCCCAGACGCAGGAAGCTAACTTAGGTACTCCCTCTTCCTTCAACCTTCCTTAGAATGTACTTCTCCACCTGCATTTTATTATGTCTATTTTCCCTTCAACCTCCCTTAAGGACAAGTACTGTAACTTTTCATATATGTATCCTGAGTTCTTCATCCTATAGTAGTTGTTCAATAAAAATATTTGTGAAAGAGAAAAAGAAACAAAGAAATAGAGACGTTTTCTTAGGATAGATATTACCAGCCATCTATTTCAATAATTAGAATGATACTTGGGAACCAATCTCGTCCCTTCCTAAAAGTGCTTTTCAAAGCACATGGGCAGGACCCAAGGTCTCAGCCTCAAAGGTGGGGA